TAATAAATTGATCTATATAACTACTTACTGCACTCATCTCTATACAAGTATTATCCTGCATATGAAACAATCTAAACTTAATCGTATTACGATAGATCTTACTCATATACATCAATTTTATCTTGTTCAGAAATGTAGAAAAGATATTATTTCATGAAAACTTTTCATAAACTCAAGATGAAACTTCATGAACAATAAATCCTTGAAAACACATGTTTCATCAACGATTTTTTTTGGTTTTTTTGTATCGATAGACAGACTACATTAAATTTGAATAATACCGATATACAAACTGCAGATAAATCATATTATTCATTAATTCATCTGAATTCATACATATAGACAAATCGAAAATCATTATCATAAAAAGAAAAGATTCTATAATTAGAAATATGATAATGATCAACAAAATCAGTGACGACTGTTAATTGGAGTTTGTAGTTCTCTTTTGCCGTTTATTTATTTTTCATGGTCACGTACTGTAATGTTGTTAGAGTTACAATTCGTAATTATAAATTAAAGACTAATATATAGCTGTAGGTGATACTACTATCAAAACAGTTTTTTTGAAGGTAAAAACCAATTTTTACGTGTGTCAATAATCATACTTGAATAGATATATTCACAATTCTGACGTTAACCAACGTTTCGTTTTGGTACTACTAGGCCTTTTAGGTATGAAGTGATCGAAAAAAAAACATTGCCTATATAAACAAGGTGGTTTCTTTTTATTACAGTCATAACCACTAAGTGAGGAAAGTTATACTTCCTTTTATTCAAAGTTACAATGTATGCACCACCGAACAGTGGCAGCGTAGCAGCAAGAACTGTGGGTCCAGCTATTGGAGCTCTGTGTTGCGGAGCTTGCTTTTTATTTCTAATTGCTGCTACTATTATACTAGCACTCATACCTGTGTATACACCAACAAAAACGGCTACATTAAATCCTAGTAAATCATTCATTTATGTTTTTGTTGTTATATACTAATTAATAGTATAACGTTGTAGATGCACGAAAAAGCCAGGATATCACAGCGACTATCGATTTTGACGGCGCTTCAAGTGGAAGACGAAAAAGACAAGCTGTGCCGCCTAGCAATTTAACCAGTTATGTTGGTGGTAAATTTGGGCCGTATGGCAATACATTAGTTGAAAATGGGGTATATCTTCAATAATAATTTTTATATTCAGAAATTGGAAGATATCAAAAAAAATTGAGAATAATCCTATCTTTGATAGAAATATAGCCATCTAATTTATTTTTCTTTGTCTCTCATCTGTTATATTTTCAATTCGTGAAACATATAATACTTTTCATTAAACTATATCAAAATGATAATATGAATGAAATATTTACTGAGCTAGCGTTTGAATAGGAAAATTTCGAAATCATCAAGTGAAATTTGTTTTTCTTCTTTCAAATAGAAATTGTAAATTCATATTCATTCATTTCTTTTTCGATTTGGTGTAAACAAAAAATTTGTTTTTTTCTTAAAAGTGAGATCGATAAATTTTCTTTTAATTGCTTTTGTTGTATACATATATATCAGTATTAATCTATTTATTCCACTTTAGATACGTAAGGTTTTACGTGCACGAAGAGAATTCGAGGATGTAACAGTTTCAAGTGTTACAATTACACCAGAGCCTAATGGAAGAAAAAAACGTCTGTAAGTTACAAGTGTATTATTAAAAACCAATTCATTAACAAAGAAATATATTTCTAGTTCACTTGTAAAACGCCAATTTAGGTCAAGAGTTGTCTTAATTGTTAGGTTCGTCATCTTCTTTGCTAGGATATGTGACTATGGATGTCAACTAAACGTTGGCCCTATATTTACACCTCTACTTCGATATAATTTGCCATCTGCTTTAATTCTCATTAATGTTCCAATTCTTAATGCAGGTGGAGGACTGCTTGCAACGATATCTTCAATTCCTATTATTGGAGTTTTATCAATTACAAATATATGTAAGTTGATTTGATTTTTGATAACGATTGCCCACTTTAAAATAAAAGGTGGGTAAATATTTCATGAATAACTTCTCATAGGAGCAAGATAGTGAGCTGCGGTTTTCACCATTGGAAAGAGAAGGTGAAGATACATCGAATCGTATAATATAGGTTTTCACAGGAGGCTCTTTAAAGTTTTCTTAATTAATTTTCTAAACAAATGCCGAAAAATTGAGTTTCTATTTTATGACGAAAACGCAAAAAAGTAATTTTTTTCACAGAAATTAACGAAAAAATCGGCTAAGAATTTCCACGAAGATATTTATAACTTCTGAACGAATAGATATGAAAATCTTGGCCTTGTGTATAGTTTGTAGATCTTCTGTTAGCGATTCAAATGCACACGAAATTATTGAAAAATTACTTTAGTCACCTTACGGAATATATTCACTTTCAAAAACGTCGCTTCAAGTCTTTGAAATATACAGTTCGATGCGTCTCCATCTCCTCTTTCCATTGGTGAAAATTTAACTCTCTACCTTGCTCCTGTCAAAAGCTATTCAAAAAATATTGATCCGCCTTTTATTTTGAAATGTACAATATTATTTTTATATTTTACTCTTTTACTCAGATCCTGCAAGGTATCCTTTCGTTGCACCAACATCACCTCCAACAGTCAGTATAACACCGGCAACTACCTCAGCAACAACAACAACACCTGCACTATCAGTTAACATAGGATAAAGTTTTAATCAGTTACCACTTTCAATTGACTGTTTATCGAACATTTCGGATATTGACCGCATATCTGCTTCAATCACATCTCGCTCTATTTTAACAGAAATACTATTTCTTTTATACTAAACCAGAAAAAAAGAAAACAACATTAACCTGAAGTAACTTTAACTAACAATTGATTTTGTTCATCATATTTTTCATTGATTAATACATTTTTTCAACACTTCATCAATCTGATTCTATTCTTGTTCTATTCATTGTGTTTTTCACGTAATTGTCGATCACGATTGACTATAGCTTCATTTTTTTCATCAATACCCATATCTAACGAATATTTCTTTATAAAAAAAATTAAAATAAAGAAGTTGTGTCAAATTATGAATCAAACATTCCAAACAATTTTAACCTAATTTTATTAGCCTGAGAATCAGCATTGAACCCTGATTATTTTTTACAAGTTTGTTTTATACTTTAAACACAACTCAATTTTTCACACGTAAAGGTCTCCCAAAGTATCGAAAAATTTTTTTTCGTCCCCATTCACTTGGAGACGTGCTAATTCCACGAAAGGCAAAAAATCGGAAGGTGAAATCCCGAAACACAAAATCTTGAAAGTTCAAAAAACAATAGATCACACTGAATGGCTGATGAGTCAGTCTTTTCTCTTCGCAACTCACTCTTTCTGTATATAAAACTGTATGTGCTCATAAAGAACAGGTGGCGATAAGGCTGTTTTCTCGCCCAAAAAATTTCTCAAAAAGAATTATATATTCGGAATCAGCATTAAATTCTGAGTGAGATGAGGTACTTTTTTTTGTCGAAAAACGATTTTCATTTTTCACAGTTCATTGGGCACCTGTAAGGGATATCAGGACCATCGAAAATTTTTTTTCAGAATTTTAGTGAATTTAACATCGTCTGATGCGAAATTTAGTGCTGATTTCGAATTTCGAATTGAAATTTAAAAAAAATAGAGTTTTGGTGGAAAAAATTTGATTCACTGTAGGATGCTAGGGAGGGCCTACTTCCAGTTATCGTGCACAACTGACCTAGTGACACCATTCGAAAGTTTGAAATACATTTATTAATGTGTGAAATTGCTTTCCCAACCAGAAATAAAAAAGAAAATGTGTCTGAAGTCGAGTTTTGGTGAGTTTTAGATCTAAATAGTCAAAAAACCAACAAAAACCCCGGTTTTGGGGGCTTTTAGCTTCAGATAGAAGGGGTACGAAAACCTCTAATCAATGAATGGCATATATAGATTGATGCAGTTTTTCACGCTCTTTCCGAATATAACTTCAGAAACAAGAAAAAAAATGAAGAACATGGTCAAATACCGGAAATACTGGGGTCATATCAAGTTTTCGGCCCTTTAACACCATATAAGTGGGATAAAGAAGTGTCTAACCAATGAGTGACATATATAGATCGATGCAGGTTTCCACACTCTTTCTGAATATAACCTCAGAAACAAGAAAAAAAATGAAGAACATGATCAAATACCGGAAATACTGGGGTCAAATCAAGTTTTCGGCCCTTTAACCCCACATAAGTGGGATAAAGAAGTATCTAACCAATGAGTGACATATACAGATCGATGCAGTTCTTCACGCTCTTTCAAAAAATATAACTTCAAAAATACGAACAAAAATGCAGAGCATGGTCAGATAGTGGAAATACTGGGATGGAAGCGGGTTGTAGAAAGGGATCTCATGCCATTTGGAACTTTTTTGTTCGTAATGCTCAATTCCGACAGAGCGAGCAACAACTGAAGATATATTGATGTTGATAGAACTGTTAGCGACTGCATAAAGCAGTGTTAATCCCGAGCGGCACGTAGAGCCCATTCTGTCTTCGATTGAGGTATTTTTTGTTTTTTTTATTTCTTTTTAAAGTTGTTCAACGTTTAAAGTTTTTTCGATAAATGAAAACTAATATGTACAAAAACGATAATAGATAGCTTGATTAGAGAATGAATTTCAATCGAGAAAGAAATATGAAAATATTGAAAGAATAATGAATGATAAAGGTATTAAGTTAGGTAGTATATACCCAGGTCCAAAAATCCGACGACGGATCTGATCGGACCCAAAAACCGACAAAAATCCGATCGGAATCCGGGTTGCAGAATTCCGATCGGATCTTACAATCGGATACTCATACGTTTCCGATAATTTCCGATTGTTGTGATCCCCCTTTATTCAGGCTGTCGGTTTCCGATCGGATTTCTATAGGATTCTATCAACCTTTGAATCTGTGATCGATCTTATATATTCTGATAATGTTTGGAATCCAAATTTTATCGTAGGTGTGCTGGAAGGGTCGTATGAAGTGAGCTAAAGTTGGCGTGAGCCAAAGTGGAGTCCATTAGCCCATACTATACTCACTGTAAATATATAGTACTCTAGCACCGGAAGTATCTTTCCCACAACAGCACAATACTACTCACAACTCAGAAGTGCTATTCCCAAAACGCAACAAAAGTATTCACTACCCGGGAGTATCATTCCCATAACAGAACAAAGGTACTCACTACCCGGAAATGCTATCACCAAAACATAACAATGATACTTACAACCCGGAAGTACTATTTCCAAAACCGAACAAAAGTACTCACTACCCGAAAGTGTCATTCCCAAAACAGAACAAAAGCACTTCCGGGTAGTGAGTACTTTTGTTCTGTTATGGGAATGATACTTCCGGGTAGTGAGTACCTTTGTTCTGTTTTGGGAATAGTACTTCCCGGTTGTAAGTATCATTGTTCTGTTTTGGGAAAACGGTTCGATCACGCTAAACTAATGGCTCGCATTTTGATTAATCCATTTTCCCAATATGAAGTGAACCACAATTTTCTGGTTAGCATGTTTGGCTCACTTCACACGGCCGCCCAAACATGACTTGGTGTACTCCTTATAAAAAGCAGAAAACGTCCTCCCGAAATCTGATTGGTCCATTTATTGACCAATCAGATTGGGAGATCCTAGTTCTCAGCTATAGATAAGGAGGGGCCCCATACATATACCCCTCATTCGATAGAGCGTCCTCGATAACCATAAGATCGGCCCGAACATGACTAGGTGTTGTCCTTATAATAAGCAAGAAAAGCCCTCCTTAAATCTGATTGGTCCATTTATTGACCAATCGGATTGGGAGATTCTAGTCCTCAGCTATAGATAAGGAGGGGCCCCATACATATACCCCTCATTGGATTGAGCGTCCTCGATAACCATAGGATCGGCCCGAACATGACTAGGTGTTGTCCTTATAATAAGCAAGAAAAGTCCTCCTTAAATCTGATTGGTCCATTTATTGACCAATCGGATTTGGAGATTCTAGTTCTCAGCTATAGATAAGGAGGGACCCCATACATATACCCCTCATTGGATAGAGCGTCCTCGATAACCATAAGATCGGCCCGAACATGACTAGGTGTTGTCCTTATAATAAGCAAGAAAAGCCCTCCTGAAATCTGATTGGTCAATTTTATTGACCAATCAGATTTGGAGATTCCAGTTCTCAGCTATTGATAAGGAGGAGCCCCATACATATACCCCTCATTTGATATGCATCCTCGATAACCATAGGGTCGGCCCAAACATGACTAGGTGTTGTCTTTGTAATAAGCAAGAACAGTCCTCATGAAGTCTGGATCCGGCGGGATCTGCAGGCCGGAAACATCGTCCTGGGATGATTTTGTGAATTGAAGATTGTTATTTTGCATTTGCGTGCATTATTTATTGTGTGTTCAGTTGTTTTGATGGTCTTGAATATGGTATTTGAGGGGTTATCAACAGTGGGAACCGATCGGATTGCGTTACTAAGGTTAATGTTGGTTGCCGAAAGTGGTTTCCGATCGGTTCCTTTCCGATAGCTTCCGACCGGATGTCGACAGTAGGATCCGATAGGACTGCCGATACCAGGGATTCCGTCACATTTCCGCAACCGATTTTCCGGGTAAATCCGATAGGATTCGGCCGAATTTCGTAGGAATCCGATAGGATCCGAGACGGAACCTATCGGATCCTACTATCAGATTGCTCGACCTGGGATAGTGTATTTGGATCGTCTTTATCATCACTTGTATTCGTATCTGACATCTCTGAATAGTCTACAGCATCAGTTAATGATGTGTGGTACTTGGATGATCGTGGTTGTAGATGTTGAGGATTATACCTGGCAAAAGCTAGATAATACATAACCGAAGCTATGTGAGCGCAACAACCAACTACACGACTTCCGTTTGGGCATTTGCAATACCAACCCGTAATGTTGTGTGTATTATATTGTATATGAGTGAATTGCAACTTTTTGGTAAGATTGAGCGCGAAAAAATGAATGTGAACGTAAACAAGTTTTGAATAGTGGATTTTATTATGCTCTACGCCGGTAGTATATAGCAAAAGTTTCCCAACACTTTATCGATTATTAAGGGAGACACATGATCTACAAATGCGCGAATTTTATATTAGTGTTATTTGCTACAAATTGACGCTCTACCCAGGCAGACAATAAACGGTTAGAAAAGCGTTTAAACGCGTTTCC